TTGGAGGTTTCATCTAACACTGGTTGAAAGAAGATATCCCAGTGTTGCCCTCGTTTAGGCTGACCAATATTCTCAGGCCAGATCATCTTGCTAATTGCCTTCCCAACCTTCTTTAAAATATCATGTTTGTCTTCTTCATTGAAAACAACTTCTCCTTCAACAACTCCATCATCCGTGATGCCATAGTAGATGTGCCCTCCTCTGAAGTTGGCAAAGGCGGAAACGTAGCAACTGAATTTATTGCTTTTACCAGTCATCCTATCTGCTAGCGTCGTGCGTTTGGATTGATCTGCTTTTAAATGCTTAAAAGTACACACTTTACTTTCACGCAAACCACAGTTTTGCATTTTAATGAATCTTTTTAGATGGGAATGAAATTCGATTGGTTCTAAAACGAACTTATTATTGACAATATCTTGGACATGCTTTAGAGATTCCAGAGGAGATACTTGTAAAACTTGTGCTTCACTTGGCAGATAGAGATGATAATTTGTTGTTATTAAAGAATCCACTTTTTTGACCAAGCTGACCAGACGTTCTTCTCTCTCTTCAAAGATAATACTCGATACAGTCAGATTCACTCCAATGATAGAAATCATATTTTGTTCCAGCATTCGCACCAAAAGTGACAAACGTTCCGATAGGTTGGCTAGTCGGCACTGGCACACGTTGTATACCACAACTTTTCCACCATTACTATTGAGCATAGCACATATAGCAGATATTATTTCTTTAAGTTTTTGTTCTTTGTACCTTTTGTTCGTTGCCAACTTACATATATCTACATCATGACCAGTCTCATCAACTCGAATGTTCATTGTTCGTAGTGTGGTCGTTATCTATCGAACAGATAGGCTAAATGCCTTCTATGACATCCATACTAATTTCACTGCATGGAAAATGTGATTCCTGTTGATAGAACGGATAGCAAAATGTTAAAATTAAGTTTTAAATGGGCAAGAAAATATTATGGTCCATGGTAAACAAATTATATAACAATTCAATTTAAAATCACGTCATGAAATTTGCTGACGCAATTGTCCTTTCCGGTAACACTTTTAATTAAACTCCTCCTTCTTAACAATATAGATTTATTCCAGTGTTTGTAACTTTACTTGCACTAATCTGTCCTGACAATGACTAAAATATTGTCGAAACGCAGATTTATTAAAGCTACAAAATGTTTTTTGAAGTTACTGTTCTGTTTGTATTTTATAAAAATCCTCAGTGCAAGTGGTTCTCGTATAATTATTGAGTGAGTCATGGCTGCTTTTCACTTACGCTTTATTTATACGCACGTACACACACGTAATAAAAAGTCTAAATCCTCATATTTGTCATATTTGAAAAAAGTGCATATTTTAGTATGCATTTGTTGACCTATATGGCTAAAAAACGCATAGGTCGAAAGCAGCCCTTATGACCTGTCCCGGATGTACACAATTGTATTGCTTAACAATTGTTGACAGTGACGTAATCTTTTCTGTTGAGTTTACTCAACTGTATACACCAAGAGAAGAAAATCGCTGTCAAAAATTTCCCGTGTAGCCGAGGCTTAAAAAACACCATGTGATTTATTTCCATCATCGAAACGCTCGAAATTCAAATATATAAGTCATTTTCACCCATGAGAAACAGGCATTCGGGATGTAATATTGCTTTATTGCTGCCGCAGCGTGGAGCGAGTTTGAAGCGAACGAGAAAGGCCACATGCAGATCCTGATTTACAATTGCCGGGGGCGGCGCAAATCAAAATTTGTCTTTTGAATGACGGTACCAGTGGCTAGGACGCTTGGACATAACCGTCGACTCTACGGTGACTACGGTTTCATATTTACTTTCACATTCATTTCACAGGCATTATTTGATGATATTTTGAGTAAAGGCTAATTTCCACTTCGGAAAACGAGCAGCGGATCGGATCGGGTCGGAACGAAAGATAATCCGCGCGTGCGCCGTTTGTTGAAAATTTTGGCTTATATTGATCCGAAAGCGTCCGAGACCGGATAAAAAAAAGTTCAAATAGTTTTAACTTTTTTTTATCCGATCCGAAATCACTTCATGGATCGGACCAGCTCGGAAAAAAATCCGATCCGATCCGCTGCTCGTTTTCCGGAGTGGAGATTAGCCTTTAATTTGACCCAAGCAAAAAGTCCAGAAAATTCGCAGAGCTACATGGCTACAATGTAAAAGAAAATGTAAAGAAAATCAATTTACTTTGACGGGCGAGCAGCAATTTGACGACTTCGTTGTTACATGTTTGTATAAACTCTTCATGCATTTTGGGAGTCATACCATTCCACAAACATTCTTTTCGCGCATTGTATTAGGGTCTTAGTGGGTTTTAAACTGATATAAACGAAACATAATACTTTTCCTGCCTCGTACTCAGGCGCTTTAGTATTTAGGCTTCTTAGTTTTTATAAGGGCTTTATAGGATCGCAATGTATTAGGCTTAAATGAAGTTCCCCAGCAAACCGTGAAGAAAGCAGGCGATATATGAAGGTGTGAATGGGGAAACGATTTCTATATTGCCTCTAGCCACGCAGCTATTTCGAGTTACAACAGAATAAATTGTTTATTGTTATATGTAGTAGCCGGATTACAAGGTTTCGACGAATATCGCAAATTATTCATTGCATTTCCATTATGATGCGATTACCCAAATTTTGTCCAACTTTGTGCGTTCATTACTCCGGCGTCAGCGACGGAGTTGAAAATTCGCCTCGGTTTTGTTTTGTTTTTTTTTTTTTTTTTTTTTTTATTTTTTTTTTTATTATTTTTCGTCGTCGCAAGTGTGTAATGGCGCGAAACATTCTAGTATTTAAATGTGTATGTGATTGGATTTATCTATGTCCCAGTCTTATCTCCCAAGAGTTGTGGTGTACAGCTTTGGCTAATTTTCCGATGCGCGATTCGATTTCGCTCGCATGATACGGCAATTCCTCCAAGAGGAACAAATAAACCGTTCTTTTCATGCTTTTCGATTAAGTTTAGACTGAATTGGGGTAAGAATATATTTAATACGTGTAGATTCTGGTCCTATTTTAGTAATATCGCTGCTATTTCGCCGTTTAACAAGATGATGTGGTCGTGTATGGGCGCTTTGACTCGTCGTAGTTTGCACAGGATTGAAGATTTAATATAACTATATAAGCGCGAATTCCAAAGGCAAAGTGTAAGACAAAGCGAATGTATTATACCATTTATTTACATTCTTGAACGATTTAACTTTTATACTTTTTAAAGTACGATGTGCTTCTGAATTTCGCGATCGAACATTTAGGTTCGCAAGGCATCTAAATGCGAATATGAACTGTATTGTTTATGTTCAGAAGCTCTATATTGAAAACTGGCACGTGCGCCGGAGTTAACGCCAGAACAGGCGTCTTGTTTATTATAACGAGGGGCGAAGACGAAGATGTCTTAAAAACAGTCCGAGATCTTAATCGCACCGTTAAATATGTTGATCTCCTGCGCTATTGGCTATTGTCTATTAGCAAAGAGATAAATTTTGAACCTCGTCCACTACAATACAAAGTGAATTTACTCCAGTGAGGGTTTATTTAGCGAACAAACTACTGCAAAAGTAAATAGCAACCGAAATAGCAAACACTGAGATCAGGGATTAAATAAAATATTTAAACACTTAACAATAGGAACTAGGTTAGGCTAAATTGCCTTCGTGCAGGACACTTCGTAGAGAAATCCCTAAACAGGTTTCGGAGAGAACTCCCGTGGGAACAAGATTGGCAACCCAAACACTGACATCATGCTTTCAGGCAGAATTTCTACCCTTAGGTATAACCTAGTTTCACAATAAAGAGATTTTATAAGGGGCCGGTTGTTCGAAAGGCGTTTAGCTTAAACGGTAGATAAGCCAAAGTTTTAAAATACTCTCATACATCTTGTGAATGACTATAAACCTGTATTTTATGCACTAAATAATACTTTCATACATCTTATGAATGACTATAAACCTAGCTGTATTTTATGCATTTAATATGTTCTTTCATTGAAATTAAACTATTATTTACATCGAAATACTGATTTCAGCTCAGTTGATCAATAAATGGATCATTTTTCACCGTTTAAGCTAAGGCAACGGTCATAAAGTATCTACAACCCCGGGACGGAGGGTAACCTTAATTTTAGAAAAAAATTGACTCCCTTATCAAGTTAAGGCAAAAATTTCAAACCCCATTAAAATATCACCAAAAAGTTTCGTATCCCATCTTGTTATATACGATCTACAATGCATGAACTTTTGAAAGACCAAAACTATGCATCGGTTTTTATGCATTAAATTAGCATACCAGTTTACCATAAGTTTTTTTTTCTCCAAAAAGTCAATGTTCTCTAGCTGAGGAACACGTGCATAAACAACAATGGCTTCTGCATTTGCTAAATCTCAGGTCGGCAAAAATTACTCATATAATCGTTTTCTAAATTTCAGCCCGGCAAAGCGGGCAAAACAAATATTCAAACAAATAAATATTCGGACAAACAAATATTCTGCTATAAAATCTCTAGGATATGAGGTAGCCATGCATGCACATATACATGATGGCTTGAATGTGTTCAACTCCGTGTCTAATGTCGTTTTGACGGTTTAAGCTGGTTTCCATTTGTCGTGAACAAGTCAGTTTCACCGATGAGAAATAGTCACTAGTAAGCATAGGCGTACGGGCATATTTTTTTTAGGGGGGCTGCGCTCAATTTGCCCGAATGACATGACGTCATAGATTTTGTGACGTCATCATAAAATTATATAATCTGAGAAGACTACAAATGAAAGGATTTCCTTTGAAGATTGACAGACGTAATATAAAAAGAAATATCATCCCTAGCCATTTAAATTCTAAACTAAATATATTCATTACGATTTACAACGAAAGAAAAAGTGACTAACATAATAACATTTTATTTGATATATGAAATTCCGTCATGTTTTGCACTAGACATGCAAGGAATTTAGTTTTGTAAAACTATAATCTAGACTAGAAGAAATATGATTTACGATTACGTCGCTGTCCAAAAATGTCAATTATCTTTTCCATATCGTTCTTTAAAGTACTATTTGCATAAGCTCTCTCAATATTGATAAGGGCAATGCTGTTTAAGCGTTTTTGCCCCATTGTACTTCGAAGATAGGTTTTCAAGCGGCGAAGAGCGCTAAAAGATCTCTCAGCAGAGCAGGATGTTGCAGGGATCGTGGCCAGAATCGAAAATACTTTGTAAGCAACAGGAAGAACTTCATGAACACCATTTTCAAACATTTTCCTCACAATTTCAGCGGCGTTTTTTCTTTCAGGATCAGGGTTATCAGCATCAATATTCTCATAGACGTTTTTCTCACTGCCAAGAAGCTCACTGTCGATACTATAGAAGTCTGATACCAACTCAATATTCTTCATGGTCGGAGAGCTGCTGAAGACTATGTCTGCAAGTGCCAATAGCACCTCTTGATCATTACCTTCAAATCTATATTTCATCTCCGCGACAATCCTGTCAATGCTTAGGTAGTAACATGTGATACGATAGTGGTCTTCCACTGTTCGGTACTCCACTTCTGCATTCACTTCAGGCATTTCGCCGACAAGTGTCTGCAGCCGGCGTGATGGCTGTTTGAGTCTTGGTACCTTTGCATCTTTGAAATTGAAATCAGTACCCTCAATTTGTTCCTTGATTTTGTCTGCCATGATTTCAGCGCGCGACCACAAGAGATCAAAATTTTCCTGGGTACGACATTCACTTAGTGTTTTGATCACGCCATCAACACTCTTCTTTGCCGTTACGACATCCATCTGCTTTCCTTGTAGGTATCTGCTCAAACCATCGGTGTTGGACAAAACAACCTTTAATACCAAACCAAAACAACGAATCGAAAGTCACAAATCGAGTTAAGTAGGGAATTGCTGTCATTGTACGTCTTCGGATCACGATCTTTTGAGAGTGAGAGAAGAGCCTCGATGATCTTAGGCATTTGGTTTACCACTGCCTTTACAGCTGCCCAGCGACAAGACCATCTAGTAGCGCTCTGCGATTTAATTGTCAGTTTAAAATCTTCGCCCTCATCTTCGACTTCGATATCCTTGAAGATAGCGTGGCGTTTGGGACTTCCTTCCAAAAAATTATGGAGACTCTGGATCACGCCTAAAGCTTTCTGAAGTGGCTCAATTGTGGTCATAGTATCTTGTAGCGCCAAGTTAAGCCGATGTCCATGGCAATGAACGTAGATACTAAGAGGTGAACACTCCTTCATACGTGCGGCAAGCCCTTTACGAGCGCCACTCATATTTGCAGCGCCATCAAAGCATTCTGCAACTATGTCTTCTAACTTCAACTCCAGCTTGCTAATGGCTGTCTTCACTAGCTCATATAATACTTCCCCTTCCGTGGATTTAGTTGAATAGAAACCAATAAATGTCTCTTTAGTTTCGCCATTGAAAACATATCTAAGGAAAATGGATACTTGCTCTGTTCGACTGATATCTGCTGTTTCGTCTACAACTATTCCGTAATAGTCGCTACTTCTCGCTTCAGCTGCTATCCTCTCAAGCATGACGTTTGCTACTATTTCTAGTAGTTCATTTTGAACAACAGGCGATGTCCACTGAGCATGTAACTGGAGCTGGCTTTGCAGTTTAGACCTCAGCCAAGGCAAATCGTTGCATCTTATGCAAAGTAACTCGAGAAAGTTCCCTCGATTTATGTCAGATACCTCCCATATATCATTCCGGGTCTCTTCATGACCTCTAATCGCAACATTCTGTTGCGCAGTATACATCAAGGATTGTATGATTACTTTTAAGTATTGTCTGTTACTGGCAACCTGGTCCTTGTGTGCAGTACTCAGCTGCTGTAGGACGGAAGTTTTGTTTCTCTGCATTGCTTTGAACTGAAGCCATCTTGCCATGGACCTGACATGGTTCTCGCTCTTGCCGTGTTTTGCTAGCTTTGCTGACTTCTTCCAATTCTTAAACACAAATGAAGTATCTTTCCCAAATTCCACGCAGGCAAAACACACGCATGCATCCTTATCCACTTCATAACTTATCCACGGATACTTCTTGTACCATTCAGATTGAAATCTTCGCACAAATGTTTCATTGCCGAATTTTCTTGCAGGATACTCCGCTAATATAGGCTGTTTTGGGGCGTGAAGGGACGAAATCTGTTCTGTATTTTCACTGGGAATGGAAACCTTTTCAGGCTGTTCGTCTAGAATATGTGCTGGTGAACTAAGATCATCCATTGGTGTAGCTGCTAGAATACTAGACATCGTCATTGATTCTGGTGTAACATTTTCGCTATCTGTCACTGTATTCTGTTCACTATTTTCTCTGAGCTGTGACAATGCATTTAATTCAACATCATCAATGAACGCCGTTATTGGTTCTTTGCTCACGAGTTCCTTCACATTTTTGTCCGGCAGATCTTCATCAAAAGACACTGTGGCTGCAAAGTCTTTACTACCACTCGATTCAGTTCCAGGTTGGGTTATGTCATACTGCAGGTCATCGTCCTTGGTTGTCATGTTACTTTTTAGAAAGAAATTACTGATTTTCGACTGGGATGAGTCTGATGATTCCATTACTGGATGGCATTTTACTTTTTTACCATTATGAACCAATCGAGAATGCACCTCTTGATAATCACTATCGATTTCCTTATTGCATTCCTCGCACCGAACACGGTGTCGGTACCGCCTTTTACGAGATGCCATACGCTTTATTAGAGCTTGGTTATTGAGTTTTGTAATATTCCAGGCGATTATTTATATAGCGACGAAGCGGTCAAAAAAGATAAAGGCCTGAGGAAAGACTAGTGTAAGTTTACTTCACATGCACACACATGTGGTTTAGATCCAACTCTATTATTCAATATTTCGCATTTGGTATTTATGCTCTCGTTCCATAGGGCGTGTACGCTTCCTTTATTATCTAGAATGCTATATTTATTATCAACTGCTATATTTATATATTAATCTCGGACGCACTTGCAATGGTGCATCCGCGGCAGCTTACTTTTCCTTATTCTATTAGTATTAGCCTATATTTACATTTAATCCATTATCCGATATCCGTTACACTAGTCTAAACCGTGTGGTATAAAATTACTTATCCGATTGTGATCAAAACCAAATCCGGTTAATTTATAGCACTTAACCTTTAATAAAGGTTAATTTGACGCACATGCTTGAACCAGTTATGCGATCTATGCTAATATACACAACAGTTTCAGTTTAGCGTTATTGGGTGAATAGATTCCCCGTGTAATCACCAGACCGTCGTAACGTCTTTGCCCGAATGACAAGACTCTTTTTGCCCGAATAGATTAATTCCCCCAAAAATTGGGGGGGCTGCAGCCCCCCCAGCCCCACCCCCCCGTACGCCTATGCTAGTAAGTTTGTCTTTTAACTCTTTATTTCTGTATATAAAGCGGTCATTGTTGACTGCACACACATAGAAATATTTTATAGCATCAGCCACCTTGGCAGCCATTAATACCGTGTTGCATGGCGGATGCCTGTACTGTAAAGTTACGGCATCATAGAATTTCAAAGTTCAAACTGCTACGGTTGTCGTTACGGTTTTTTGTTAATGGAACATAATACTTAGTAGAAGCCTTCTTACCGTTTAGTAAGTCTCATTTCACGGAATTGTACTGACTCTAGCCATCTAGCGCTGCGAATCAGTAATCAGTAAGTGCATGGCATCAATTGGACAGGGGATTTCCCCTGAATTTCGGCATGTACTGGAGTAGTCTGTTGTCCTTACGTTAGCAGCAAGCGATCCAAAATCTTTAATAGGTTTTTCGTTCAATCCAGCAATTCATTTAAACAATTTCTTTGTATAAACGTAAAAAACGTGAGACCCGACAGACGTGTTCCTACTGAAGATCAACACATAAATTTACACGTGGCAAGCATGCGGTCCACAGTTGGACTATTAAACCACGGGTATTATGTCATTCATTATATTTACACTCTGACAGCGATGTATTGTTCGTAACCAGTGACGAAGAAAACTTCTGAATTATGTTAAATACTGATCAAAGCACTTTATTCTGCAGTGATCACCGATCATACTGTCCTCTGTCGGTACTGAGCCCCGTTTACACTGCACTCAATAGAAAGTTTGGCGATATAGAACGGCAACGACAACTGCAACGGCTTTTGCTTCACTCCTCGTTTAAGTGGATTTCCATCTGGAAACCTTGATTCGTAAGTGAAACGCGTTTTCGTTCGAAAACGGAAACATTTCGATGCGTTTTGGCCTTTCATCCACACTAATACAACAGGTGTCTTTTACTGTAGCTTACAAACTTATAATAAACGCTTGTTTAGAAATAAACATTGCGCTATTCAACCTTCCGTTGATTTCCCTATGAACGATCTCGGTTCTAAAGTCACTAATGCTGTCGAAGCCTTGTATTTAAATCCATACTAAAGTTGGCAACTCTCAGCAGCAACTCAACTTCGCTATCGGTCCAAATAAAAGCTTCTTGCTTGTTAGCAATTAAGAAGTCTTAGAAGACGAAGCCATATGGAGATTATAGGATTATAGGATTATAGGATTTTATATAATAACGTAAAGAATTCAAGCAATTTCATTGGTCGAGAGCCATGATCTATAAGAGGACAGACGCACGGAATGACGTCACAGCAATTTTCTTTTTACCGGTTTAATTTTGGATTTTTTTCAGTTTTATTATATAAAACAAATAGATTACAATGAACCGTTGTCTGTTCAGTTATAGATACACGGTATGACGCCATATGTGATAAGAACAAAAGAGTGACCACTCGCCCCGGCGGCTCGTGGCCACTTTTTTTGTTCTTATCACATATGACGTCATACCGTGTATCTATAACTGAACAGACAACGGTTCATTGTAATCTATTTGTTAAATAGACACTGATAAGGAGATTATAGGAAAATCCGCACGCGGAAAATGCCGCAAATATTAAATACTGCAGGCGCGCGTTTTTGAGCGTTTATAGGCCCACACTGTCACACACACTGGACGTGATTCGCTAACGCGAAGCGAATTTTTCATTTTCAGAAGCAAATTAATTCAATTCACAAAGAAAATTTTGAGAGATATAGGTACCAGACCAGTCAAAATGCACTATCATTCAGTAATTAGTATGAATATCACAGCATTGTTAGAATTAGCAAATTTTGAAAACTGAAAAATTCAGGGCAAATCCCGTCCGGTGTGTGTCGGCCTTTAGTGTGGACGATCGAAAACGCTTGGAAAACAGTAGTGTGGACGCAAAGCGATCGATGCGTTTTCAATCACATGAAAACGGAGATATTTGATAACGCATAAAGCTGGTTTTCCACTAGCGATAATTTTCGGGCGAAGCGAGTTTATTCTTTTGTATTTGAGCAATTTGTTCCAGATGGTTGCAGTTGAGAGATCTGGAACACAAGTAAATTGTCGATTCGCGCGAAAAATATCGCTAGTGGAAAGCCGGCTTTAGTGTGGACGAGGTTCTAATTGCATCACCCGGTTTTCCACAGGGCGAATTTATTTGCGCGAATAAAAAGTAGGAAGCGATTCTACTTTTTCGCGGCGAATTTTTTCGCAGACCAATCACATCACCGAATTTCAGATATCGTTTCGCGTCGTGCGAATAAATTCGCCTGGTGGTAAACGGGCTCAAGCTGTTAACATTTTACACGCCATTGCGTTGCATTTTTTGGTCAAAAAGCGTCTGACGTATTTTAGATAATTTTAAATCTAAATAATTCCAAGAAGGCTCAGCTGAACCCCTTGAGCTGCACCCACACTCTCCCCCGGATATTCTCTGCTCGATACAGGCGCAAATATATCACACCAGCTCAAGGGCGTGCTTGCTAAACATTGAAATCCTTTGAGCTGAATATACCATCATCAACGGTTTATTCATCTCAATACTGAAACCACTGAAAAGACAAAACACTCAGTAGGCAGCATTCACTACCCAATGAGTTAATCTGTATCGTGGCGTGACCCGAGTACGAACGGAAGCTTGACCTCTTAGCTGTCAAGGCCTTTGCAGTTTGCATCATAGCCTATAGGTGTCTAGTTATAGCAAGACGTACTGTACCTTACTGCTAGCTGTGTTGGTCTCTAGACTCTGCGATTTTCGTACTATGTATGGCTTGTTGTTTATTTTGCTGTTCCAAATTACATACCTCGACGCACGGACTGACCCTGAAGTCAATTTTAATGTGGTAGGTATGGCGGTTCCGTATAAATAATAAATTATACCTGATCGGCGACCCGAAGAAATTTTTATTGTATGTAGAAGATGTAAATATTACAACAGTTGTAACATAAATGCAAAACGTTTTTGTGAGATTAATTATTTCGGTATTAATCTACTCGATGCAAATTTGTATCGGAATATGTACGTATTCTTAGTACTTCGATCATACGATACATTTATGAATAAATTCAATATGTACTTTGCCCTGATGGTGTCAGGCGATTTTTGCGCTAGGACATATGGGTAATCAACGACAGTGCAAAGAACTGTTCACTAATCACTAATCACTAATAATTACTAAAGCTCAGTTCACACTACACCGAATTTATAAGTACAGCAAAGCTAAAATTGGAACCCATATTTTATAAGAGAGGTCTGAGTGTAACTACAGTGTATTAGAGAGTGTTTGTTTTTGACAGTTCCCTTATTGGAAAATTAACACTCCTTTTCTCCGTTCTAATTCATTTTATGAGATTTTTATTGATGCTTGGTAGATTATTATTACATATAAACTATTACCCATAAAACTGTTAATTCACATTCTAGAAAGTCTTAAATTTAATTATAAGAACTATGCATAGGTAATTAGATGTACCAATCATGTTATCACATTAGTACCAATCAAGCTTTGTGTCCACTGCAGTTTTTTACTAATTTGTATAATATTTTGCAGCCTCAAATGATTGAATATTGGGGCTACCCTGCAGAAGAACACAAGGTGCAAACTCTTGATGGCTACATATTAAAGATTCATCGCATTCCACATGGAAAGAATGAAAAATATTCAAGTAGCAACAAACCAGTTGTCTTCCTACAGCATGGCCTGTTGTGTTCATCCAGTAACTGGGTATCAAATCTCCCCAGTGAATCACTAGGTTACCTCTTGGCTGATGCAGGTTTTGATGTGTGGTTGGGTAATGTACGTGGAAATACTTATGGTTTAGAACATGTTACTCTAAAACCTGATCAAACAGAATTCTGGGACTTCAGGTATGTGGATCGAGTGCATTAGGTCATGTTAAACTCTGGTTATCAAGTCTTAATTCCCATATGTATAAGAACATGCAGGAAATCAAGACATCAAAATTAAGCTATTTCAATTTTGCATTGCATGGTGATGTTCTATTATACATTTCAGCTGGGATAAAATGGCACTTTATGACTTACCAGCAATGATTGACTATGTGTTAAATACTACAAAAATGGCATCACTTGGTTACATTGGACACTCTCAAGGGACCATGATGGCATTTGCTGGTTTGTCTGTGTATAAA